GCAATGTAAACTCTGTCAATCCTAAAAATAAACAACAGCTTGAATGAGGTGTGAATGAGATCAGTTCGAACCGCAGTTTTTATGCAAATTCGTGCGGTCGTCCTGAACCGCACTGTCTATTGTTTAAACTTCCAAACCGCAAAACTGGGTTTTGTTCGGGCGGTTTAGGGCGGTTTGGGTTTTCGTAGGTTTGACCCGCATGTTTGAATATGAGATCACCCCTAAGAGAGTGCCACGGTTTCCTGGCAACATACATCCCTATCCACTAAAGTGACATGTACCTGATACCATCACTTACCAGTGTGCCCTCTAAGCCAATACAACAGGCCACTGGTTATGCTAATTCACTGGCATGTCATTGACGTAACCAAAATTGATATAATGATCTTGTACTATACATGTTAATATATATTTGTAATTTGGTAAACTGAAATTTACATTTTGTAAAGAAAACATGTGTAAATACAAAAGAAATCATGGGTCATAAAATTTTTGTTTATTCCTCAAATCACCTACACAGTCAAATACAGTTTTACTTTATTCTGGATCACCAACTACCAAAGCAGTCAAAAAGCTACATGTAACTCAACTTAATTTTAACAGATTCCATTTTGACTCAGGATTTTATCAAAATCAGTCCTTTCAGAGGGCGCACTGCCTCTCATCCCACAACATCAGAACTGGCTATCTCCCAAGCCTTGTCTAGCACATGACTTAGCAATGCATTAAAAAATACCCATCAACAGCAAAATGAGTACATGTCATACAAGAAAACTGCTTCCTTGAAAACGAAGACCTTTAATGAGTAGATACATTGAAGACAAAATGAAATGTATACTATAAGTCTAAGTCAACCCTCTGTATTTATTAATTTATTTATTGGAAAATGAACAGGAGCAAATCCCATGTATAAGTTCCATCAGAACATGATCTACTCATTGCAACAACATTATTTGAGGAGAGAAACAACACACAGAATTGATAGCTTTACATCCCCATTCAAGTGGACGCCATTCAATAGGCAGACAGGTTAGGAAAAATGTAATTTTTTTTTTCAATGCAGAGTATGCAACCAACCACAGTTGAATTAGTCTTTTTACAGTAGATTGGTGGCATGGTAATTGGAATAGATCGTAGCTCTGCGGTTTGACAATTACCCCGATGAAAGACGAAAATCAAAAAATCAAAAAAGGAGTACAGTAACATCATCAAAGGGCAAGGAACTACAGCAACTAAAACACCATGCACCATTCAAAAAACTGAAATCCAACTAGAATGCACATTATTTCACACATTATTAAATCATGACTGCCCACCTTTTGTATAAGCTTAGCTAAGTCTTCTTCCTCAAATGATTTTGTATTCCCAAGGTCAACATGTCCTAAAAGATCTGTAATTGATTTTTTATCCATACGTTTCACCCCTGAATGAAAGAAAACACAATGGCAATAAACATTAAATTATTATTTTGCAATATGACAACCAGAATTTCAGGTCTGTAAGTGACTGGTATTAAACACGAAATCTTAACAGTTTGTGCATTGCATAATGTTTGCAATAGGACCATTGATTGCAACGTAAACATGCATTGTTATTTCACATGAAATTCATAGCCACGCTACATGACAACTGGGGTACTGTAGAATACTTTATTTTCGCTTGGAATTTATTTTCGCTATTTTCGCTGAAGGGATGATTCCGTGAAAATAAAATACAGCGAATATACTTTTTTTCCTATATTTCACATTAAACTCATCAGAAATCAGTGAAAATAAATTCCATACAAAACGCCCAAAACGGCCTTTTCAGCGAAAATTAATTCCAGCGAAAATAAAGTATTCCACAGTACTTTAATTTTCCCTGCTAGAACGTTTTGCAATTCATTTTGACACAATTTAGTTTAAAATTAAACAATTTTTAACACATACATGTACCAGTATTTTACAAGCTAATCCAGTGGCACTATCAATATTAGACACATTTCAAAAAAATAACGTCAGAGTAACTCACCATTTTTTTGATCTAACTGTTCTCGTGCTACTAATCGAAGGCGGTTGATTTCATGACGTTTCAGTTCATCTAGCTTAGACCGCACTTGATGGTCAACTAAATTTAATTCATCAGCTATTCTTCCACTCTGCAAAAAAAAAAAAAACACCTTCAGAGTTCTATTTTTTTTTGGAAAAGGGCACTTTTAACACTTTTTTTTTTTTTTCATATTTTTATTTGTTAGTTTTGGACCAAATAGATGTGAAAGATGGCCACTCAAAGTGTTAATGCATCTGAGGTGAATGGACAATCACACAGGTGTTCTGAGAAGAGTAAACACACATCTCAATATCAATTCTTTCTTTTCTAGTAGTACTCTGATACTACTGTATATCATAATGTCAGCCAGGTAATTTCAGAGAGGAAATATTTTGATTGGCAACTGTTAATTTAATGAAAGGTCATGCGTTATTAGCAGATGATTGGCCTTCCACATGCTACCATACCTTGATGTGTTCAATATCAGCTTCTTCTAATTTCTTTTTAAAATCAGGGTCTTTCTCTAGCACATTAATAACTTCTTGTAAATATCTGTCATACTCTAAACCTGTATCCTGTAATGAGATCAACACAAATCACAATAAGATTAAAAGTACACAAGCTGCATTTTGGGCAAGTTTTCCTGTGAATGTAATGCAGAATCGAGATGTGGTGATACTAAATACTTGTACATAGGCGACGTTCAGTGCTGGTTACATAGCCTGCTGTCTAGGTGATGTTTACATGTACATAGCCAGCTGTCTAGGTGATGTTTGCATGTACACAGCCAGCTGTCTAGGTGATGTTTACATGTACATAGCCAGTTGTCTAGGTGATGTTTACATGTACATAGCCAGCTGTCTAGGTGATGTTTACATGTACATAGCCAGCTGTCTGGGTGATGTTTACATGTACATAGCCAGCTGTCTAGGTGATGTTTACATGTACATAGTCAGCTGTCTGGCGTCTGTTTACATGTACACAGCCAGCTGTCTAGGTGATGTTTACATGTACATAGCCAGTTGTCTAGGTGATGTTTACATGTACATGGCCAGCTGTCTAGGTGATG